CTTTTGCCCGTTTTCGGTTTCTAACGCAATAGAGCTCCAGGTATGAGAAAGCTCCGTGGGCCGCCATTTTCCCATTCAAATTTTTAGAAAATCACTCAACTTTTGAATAAGTGAACGGTTAGTGCTAAAACTTTGGCATCTGGTTCGGACCTTTAGCGCTACATTGAGGTGGAGAATAAGCGTTCGGCAATAAATTACCAATTTTTAAAATAAACAAATTTCCCATATAGTTTTTTTTTTTTTGGGGGGGGGGGGGGGGGTTGGGACAGGAGGAGGTGGGTATTCTACATACTAAAAACGTTAGGTGAGGTGGATTGATTTAGACACCATGAAGAGTGGTTGTTTGGGCGAGTTGGTTTGACATCTTATACAATCCTGTGCGCAACAAAGGCAAGGACAAAAGCAGAGAAGAGGACACAACAAGGCGCAACTTTCAACTGAATTTTATTGAAAACGTGTTCCGGTATATATATATAGTCTCAACCATCGTTACAATGACAACAACAAAAAAAAGACAAAAGTAAAGGAAAAAAAAAAACACCATGACAGAGCATAACTGGGAAACAACACTATCTCGTTCTCAGGAAAAACAATTTCTTCTCCGATAATGCGATCGACGGCATAGCAACACACATGTCTCCTAAATAATCATGCTGCCACAAGAGCTACTCAACATTTAGAACCAGTTCTTGTGGCTTGTATCCACGTTACCAATTGTAAGATTAAAATTGACTACCAGGCATCATTTCTTGCTTTTTCCTTTTCTAATCCAGTAAATCTTTTATTCTATCAATAGATGCATAAATAAAAAGATACCGCATTTTCTCGAGTAATAGTCGCACTGTTTATGAATGCGTCCCTTGCGTCTACTTTCCCACGGAACAGATATACAGCTAATCATAGCGTTGCAAATAAATAACATAGCGAACAACCATATCGAGAACACCATTGCCCATACAGATGCAATCTTCAAAGATGGTGCCTTCACACGAAGACTTTTTCGCTCTCTTGTAAACAGCTAGGATCATGCTATCGATCGCGGTGATTGGCAATCGGTTTGCTCCGCGGAAAAGCTAACCCTCAGGTTTTCTTGATAAACAGTGCGGCTATTACTGGCGTAAATACGGTACTTTATGAAATATGGAATCATATCTTTACTTCAATTATTCAATATATAGTGAACTGTGAATTTCTAAAACATAAAGTTAAGTTATTTGAAAGAAAACAAAACTAAATTTGAAATGACGATTAAATTAATGACGCATGTTTGCATACAGATTATCGCATCTTATTTACCAATACTGACCTAGGTAACAAAAAGGTCCATAACAGAACGTTCATTTTTTAACCTTCAAAACTTAATATTTAAAAGCATACTACGATCCGCTCCTTTGCGAGGAAAGCATAACATTAAATACCAATACATTGAGCCTTTGTTTTCCAACTATCTGAGGTTCCTTCCCAGCCAATATTTGACCATCAAGTTAAAATATTACAGCGTAATTACTGCACCTGATGTAATATGTTTGTTTCTGAGGTCTTTTGTACCACCTGTAGAGGTGATATATAAAGAAGTCATTGAAGTTCAGAAAGGACAATAGTGCAAAATTATAAAACGTTTAATGCATTTCCTATTGTTTCAAACGCGCAAGATGACCCAAGGTCAGGGCTGCCCAGCACTTCGACCGATTTGTTTCGTTCAGCATGGGCTGAGATCCTCATCATGAAGAATCTCCGATCTAAGGTGTCCGAAGTTGCTAGAGAATTAAATATTTTGTATGGCAATGCTGTCACAAACATCTATGAGGTTTGGGTATGTGGAAGGTCTCGGCAAGATGAGTGCCACAGCACCTTTCTACGCAGGATCGAGAGCACCGCTTGAATTAGTAAGGGGAGCTTTGGAGCATCTCTGAAAGCGACCCAGAACATTTTTTCGCCTGTCTTGTGACTGGGGATGAGACGTGACTTTACCGGTGGGACACCGAAACAAAACAACAGTCTATGCAGTCGAGGCTTCGGGGTCCCCCCCTCCGAAAAAATTAAAGACGCAACGCTTGGGGAGGAAGGTGATGGCGACAGTTCTTTGGGACACAAAAGGGATCCTATTGTTTGATTATCTGGGAAAGAGCAGGACAATAACAAGCGAAAAAGACTGACTATTATTAGGGGGAAGGACTGACTGTTATTAGGACTAGGACACACGGGGTTTTCTCTGCCGTGGTTTGAAAACAACAATTATGTTCCACGTTCACCGTTGCAGTTTACTGCACTACAGCGACAGCTCTCTTCTAACCACTGGAAATGAAGTCCATTGTTGGCGCTGTACTTTGCGTAGTAGAGCGTAGGGTGCCCGTCGTCGATGTTGCCAAATCCTTAAAAAAGATTGCCCACCGCCGGAATCGAACCTGGCTTCGCCGCTGCGTGCGAAGCTGAGGCGTTATCACAAAGCTACGCCACAGCGTTAACGAGCAGCCTTATGCTTAGGCTTTTTCTATTACCCGATTAACACTGCAGGGGCTCTCTGGAAAAAATAGAAAGAAACAGCCCACAACGAAGGGCCGGCGTAGCACTGTCAATGCCAAGAGCTCGTGCCAAGAGACGCGCTTTCACGCGCTCCAGAAAAAGAAGACACAAAAAGTGTTCGGAATCAAATGGTCACATCTCCATTTTGTTCCGAACGCTTTTGTTTGCGCAGTCCACGGTACGTGAACGTGACGCCAGTGCCCAACGACTTTGCCATGACGTGTCGCAACTGTCGCTGTGACTGCGCTGTGGATGAACACGGGACTGCTGGTTTTTTGTTTTCACCAGCTGCGCTAACGTCACGCCGTACTGGCGTCAAGCTGTTTTTGGATCGGCTATTTTTTTGACACGTGTTGTTGCGAAGCTCACCGTTACTTGGGTTTCTTTGATGCTGCCTAGATGGAACAATTATTTTTATATTTGATTTCACCATTATTAAAAGTAAGACTGCGCGTTTACAAAGGTAGGTCATCTTGGCCAGGTTCCAAGAACAGTACGAATTTCGCGCATGACCCGTTTGGGGTCCGAAAAAACCTTCAAAACGCAAAAAAAAAAAAAAAAAAAAAAAAAAGCCTCCCCTCTCTGCGCTGCTTTAGTCAATATTGATTTAGAAGGATGAATATGTCAATATTGTTTTATTATTATCAGTTGTAATAATTCTCTGGATCCATCGTGTCTGGATCCCTCAACGGCCATGTACACCACGCAAACCTGGACAGACATATTCTCAATCTCTCCGGTTCTCCAGAGATGATTTCGGCATGCTGCTACCTGTCTTGGCTGCCACGTGGATCCAGTACGCCACAGAATGGCCGCTACCCCCACCTCTCTGTTCTTCACCGTCCCGATTAGCACCTGCCCGACACCATTCGGGGTGTATCAGAAGTTCATCCAGCCCACGTAAATGCGTCTCTGCGAGTGAAAAAAGAGACATTTCTTCCAGTTCCACAATCTCGTAGAGTTCTCCCGATTTTGCATGGCTCCGTGCAACCCGAACATTGAGGACGCCCACCGCTACCTGTGTGGATGTTTTCCGCTTGCGTTGTCGACCTTTCCGCGGCGAATTCTGCCCCCGCGCTGCACTGGAGTTTGCGAGCTTTGATTCCCGGCGCTACCATCCGACCTCTTGGTTGGACCCCCGTTTGTCCGTTTTGACAAAGCGGCGCCATTATCCCGGGTACGCCCATACTCTAGTGGCTCTGGCGGCGGAGGACGTAGCAGATTTGAATACTGGGATATTGCCGTCTGCGCTGGTAGTGGCATCGCTTATTATATCGGCACTGGCAAGATGTGATGGTGGAGATATTTCATGTGCCCTCCAAAAATTGGGGCAGTTATTAGTTACACGCGTTGATGATCGTCCGGGGACCAGACGTTGCCCATTTGGTAATCCCGGTATTGCGTTGCCACCCTCTCTGACTCGGAACCCGAGCCAAATCGCAGTAAGTTGCTTTCGTAGTTCCCAAAGAGCTGGAAGTCTTCTCCGTTTGGAGCATGATGGGACCCCACTTGCTGAGGCATCGCGCGTGGCTCCAACTGGAACATGATCGACGCTACCCGGACGCCGGTAAGCTGGTGCTTAGCTTGTTCATGACGTTCTTTCTGCGCTCTGTCAGACGCGTCCAATGATCTTTCATATACAAGTCGCCCGTTGAGGCAGACTAAGCTCAGCCTGTATAAGCATACACACAAAAAAATTATTATTACATCGTACAGGCTGGTAGGGGTACGCGGTCGTGTAATCACAGCAGCGCGGAGCACGTTACAGACCTCGAGTTAAGTCTAAGACCGCAGTGGATAAGTTACCCTCCACAGCAACGAACCATGCCGCCGAATCTCAGAGGCGGATTGACCCCTCACTATTTAAACATTTACGAAGCCCAATTTGTTTTCATCAATCGATACCAAGAAGAAAGATGAGGAAAATTGCATTACGTCTTTCTTGAACGAGCACACGTTTTTATAAGAATTACAGCGTACCTCCCCTGATGAAGGGCGTCTGAAAAGGGGAAGTGCTATTCTACGCCACCACTCTGCGCCAGAGGGAGCCCGGCCACCTAACCTTACATGCACACCATTGTCTTCTCTACACCAAAAGGCGAAGCCCCTCTTCAAACCTGGGAAACAAATATCCTCTAATGACTGCTAGTAGTGTGCGAGCTTTATTTTGAAAGCCGTCTTAGTCAGGGGGCAATGGTACATTCATGATAGAAAAAATCGTAAGGGTACAGGCGAGCTGGTGAATATTAACCATGTTGAATTAACCTGAGACTGGGGTAGAGAAGAAACATCAAAACGTAGAAGGGAAAGAAAATAGACAGGACGACGTCTCAATTTTTGAGACGTCGTCCTGTCTATTTTCTTTCCCTTCTACGTTCTGATGTTTCTTCTCTACCCCAGTCTCAGGTTAATTCAACATGGTTAAGGGTACACCCATGTTATTGGTCCAGAAACTTCAAGACCCTACGAAGGCATACCTTTTTTAGGACAGCACCGTGTGACCGGTCGTCAGGGTCTTCCCTCAGTCGAGCTGCTCAATTCTCGTATTTTATTCTCCAAGTGCCATGGCTCTCATGACGGGCTCAGTTTATTCTCGCATCGGGAGACCGTTACATAAAAAAAGATAAAGCGGAACGAGTGGAAAAGCGGTCAGCAGCAGCGTGTGACTGACAACTGGTGACCGATATCAATACCAGATGACCCTAGCACATCCGGCGACTCGGCAAAAGGCGCGCGGTTCTTAGCAAATGTTTTGATCGGATACTATGAGTGCGCCATCTAGGCACTTCCGTCCTGGATCTCTGGATTGAACCGATACAGGCAATGAGCACACCTCCCCCTTCAGCCACCCCAGCCAAATGCTTCACCGCTAAAGAAAGAAGTGCTCAATAAGGCACCAACTATGCGACACAAACAAGAGTGCTTACAGATGTTATGTATAAAAAATCGAAGTGCGAAGGCGCTCAAGTGACCTTATCACGTGACCAGAACATCCAGGGCAGCTCAAAGCACGTTGCACTTCTTGTCTCCCGGCTAGCAGTCAAATATTTACTTGAATTTTTCTAATTTTATTGAAGATCTACCTGTATTGGGTGGCAAGACGAAGTCTGGATTCAGAAATCCGGAATCTGTATGGGGTCTAGGGTAGCTCCTGCGAATACTATTTTTTCTTAGAAAGGTGAAGCGAGCACTTGAAAACAATTTAAGGGGGCTTACCAGAAAGATATTCAGGTACGTAAACGATTATCTTGTCTTCGTAGAAAAACCCAATTTCAATCAGACACCCAATAATGTGCTAAAACGTTTAACGAGCAAGGATTAGGCCTGAGATTCACGTTCGAGACTCCTAAAGAGCACTAGATTCAGTTTCTGGAACTTAGTGCTGATGTGAAGGAGTATGTTTGTTGGTTGAACCATCCCAGAACCGCTAAGTTTCTGCTTCATTTTTGGCCTGCCCATTCAAAGCTCATAAACAATGGTATTGGTGTGTCTTGAATTCGGGATGCGTTATCAAAATCCTGTGAGCACTAAATTAAGGAGAGCGTTTCAGCCCTAATAGCGAAGCTCCAAGACGCAGAATTTCCTATTCCGGTAATTACCTCGGCCTTAGATAAAGTAAAGTATCAAGGTAGATGCCGGGAAAGACTGCGGGGAGGGAGACGTGGAAAAGAGAATGACGGTGGCTACCATCTCTAGCGTTCACCGCGTATCGCACGGGTTAAGGGGGGCGGCTCAAGGTACGTGCGGAGTAAGTGTCGTTTTTTTGGCCAGAAACAAGTAGGGCCAGATTTGCCCCGCCGTAGAAAAGCGCGCTAAAAAAACAACCAAATAGTCACGGTCGCACCATGAAACATGATACGAAGTTCGTATCTTGTACATTTGTCGCAGTATATTAGACACTTTTCATGTGCGAGCAGGTATATATCCGTCGAACAGGGCGGTGGTCGAACATCCGTTTAGGGGAGTACCAAAGTTCGTTGAAATGATTTGCTTACTCGCATCGTACAAGGCGCTGTCGTTGCTGCGGGTGTGAGCCAAGATTAAGTGACACTGAAATCATGTTTAAGCACAAAGACCAGCTGTCGACAGAAATAGTAGAGGTGCACAAAAAAAAAAAAAAAAAAAAGATGAAATCCTTGCGCGTGAGCCAACCATCCTTGGGAACGCTAGACAGTGAGATGACATTTTTGGATTTGGGCTAGGTCTTTCAACCTTTCCTTAGCGAAAAACTCTCCAAACTGGATTTCACGTTTCCAACAAGAAATCCAGTTAGATTTCCTGTTCCATAATCCAATTCATACTTTTTTTTTTTGGTAGGGTTGTCATCACACTTTTATCAACAGTCATGCAATGCGCTTGCGCGAAATCGCACTGTCCTAGATTAAAGCGTCGTTTTCGTGTGTCTTTCTGATAAAATATGTCAGTTGATAGTCAGCGCTCGTCCCTTGTATTTCCTCCACGTCCTTGTATTCTCGCGCTGTTTCCACGATGAATTCTCCCTACGTTCTATCTGGTGTTCTTGCTATTTTTCGGATTCAAACATTTTTTTCAGAGTCACTTCGCTCTTTTAGATTTGTGGTCTTTTAGTTTACTCCTTCTTATCTAGTTTGAGCAGTCAGCAAAATACTGCGCGTGTTTGAGCACTTCCAGATCAAAATGAGACGTATTTGAAAAATAAGAGAGCGCAAAGAACGAGGGACCAGTGGAAAAAAAGGCACGGACACAGCGCAGACATGTTCCCTGCTTTAAGGCGATAGCTTTAAGGGCGACACTTCGCAGAGATTTCGACCTTGTCCGTTGTCGTCGCCGCCGCCTAAAAACCCTTCTCTCCGCTCTTGGCGCGAGGCCAGGGAAGTCGGGTTTTCCCAGATCTTTTGTCGGTCGCGCAGAGCGGAGATGATGAGCCTCAATATCCCGCCAGTAGCGACGCGACAAAAGGAGAGTATTTCATGTCGTGTGCTTGAAAAACTTGTTTTCAAACATTATTCGCGTTATGCAATATCCCCCTTTGGCAGTATCCAGTTGCTACGCGTAATTTTGGATGGTTTTAGAAACTTCCACCGCGCTTACCAACTTCACGGAGCACTGGTGGCGGTCGCCAGTGGCAACCACGAAGCCAACTACGACGGCTATGAGAATTCACTACGTCGCACCTCTGTCCTCAAGTATGTGACGGCACCATTTCCACCCGCATTGCGCGGCCGTGCTATAGCTATTGCTTTTATTATACAGATATTATCTAGATTCTTTTTGTTTTCGACGTCTGCCAACGTATAATTTAAGACAAAGGCTAGCTGAAACCATGTTGTTCGCGAGTGCCGGCTATGAGCTGTACCTATGCGGAGCGCAAGTTCATCTTGCTTTGATTGGCTCTGATTAAAGGATAGTGAGTAGGTCTCAAGGCAGCTGGCTTTGAGGTCTAGTCGCTATCCTTCATTCAGAACCAATCAGAGATCGGCGTTCTGACGTCACCACAACCCCTGCAAAAGAAAAGCAGACAGCCCAGCCTAGCCCAGAATACGAGACAAACATCCACGAGAATCGACTACAGTAAAACAGTCTCAATATTGCTTTTTTTTTTTAACATGAGTTACAAAATACCGTGCGTTCGGCATCCGGTACTTGCAAACCAGATAGCAAACATATTTCTCCTAAAACCTTTAAAATGAGAAAGTGCCGTCTGATTTTGATTTATAACCAGCGTCACGTAGTAAATTTCTAAAGTTCATCGAAAATGTGGAATCTCTGCTCATTAAACGATGTCGTAGGTACATCGCTCACCAGATGTGTCATTAGTGAGTTTTAGGGAACCGTTTTTGCACATCCGGTATGGTACGATGGGCCCTCCGGAACAAACTGCGCATGCGCGGGTTTTCTGCGGTAGCACGTGCGCACTTGGTACAGGAGGGCCCTCGTACCGCATCGGATGTGCAAAAACGGTTCCCTAAAGCTCTCTACTGTTCGTGCACAACATCGTTCTTCTTTTTACGAGTGTAGCGCTTTATTTTTCTGGCCTGAATTGCGTGGTTTCAATAAAGGATGGTTTGTTGGCTTATGAAATGATAGCGAAATGATAACTGAAACCATGTGTCATAGAGTGAGAAGCTCCGGCCGATTCATGTTTCTTCTGTACGACGAACACAAGGGCGAGCGGGCGAGCTGATATCGAACGAGCCTTTATTAAAAGAGGTTTGAGGGCGCTCGGGTGAGCTGGTGAATAATATTAGGCAACGCGATAAAACAGAAGACACGAAAACAAAAAAAAACAAAAATTACAAAAAAAATCCTAATTAAGCTGATTGGCCTAACAGAAGGTGTACCTATACATAATGTTATTTCCTGTCACGCGCACTTTCAGGATATCATAAAGAGCGTTTATCAAAGTCACGCGTATCAATGCTATTTCTAAAAAATAAAAAAGTTATTTTTTTTTAACAGGCGGGGCTTTTTTTACAGCGAAGCTTTTAAAGGGATTGTCCGGTCGAAACCGGAAGTGCTTAAGTGTTTGCGCTCATTACGTCGAGGGAGCCTTCATGTAGACAAACAACATTTTTATTTTGATATATGATCTCCCGTTATTAACTAAACCTTTCATGAGCGTATGTACGAAACTGCACCCCAAATTTCACCAGTGTCAATGGCTGACATCCGCAGCTGCTGCGTGACGTCACAAAACGCAAATGTTTGTCGGGTGGTCGAGATAACAAGCGTTGGTCGATGGATGTCTTGTATTTTGTTTCGAATCATATACTCTCCTAGGCCAGTGTTTCTCAAATGGAGGTCCGCGAAGGCCTTCTAGGGGTCCGCGAAGCCCTGCCTCATCAGTCAAGCCCGGCCAGAAAAGGTCTTTTTTTTTTTTTTTTTTTCAGGTCGAAAAGAAATGTTTGTTTTCGGGCGAGTTTTTTTATGTGAACGTCAATAAGAGAGGTCTACTTCACACTAGCCCTTAGTTATATCCATTTATTAAATGATTATTATATTTAACCTATACCTTTTTCTCATCTCAGTACGAACGGGGTCCTCCATCATCTCCACCGATCCACAAAGGGTCCGCGAAACATCGATGGTTGAGAACCACTGTCTTAGGCTGTACCCTACTGAAATAAGGTTCTTTTAGTGCAGTTCCCAAGCATGTGCTTGGGAACTGGGGGGGGGGGGGGGGGGGGGGGGGCGGGTGGGGGCGGGGGGGGGGGGGAAGCCTTTCCACTTAACTGCTTGCGCGATATAGTTCTACCTCCAAATAAAAATAAAGAAAAAGCTCGACTTTTTGTTCCAGTCATCAGCGGACGGCTTGACCCTGAAAGCCCCCCACTTAACCCACCCATCCCGTCCCAGCGCCCTACAGAAGGCTCTGCGCCCTGCGAGCTGCGAGAATGGCTTTGGTTTTCATTCGTTCAAAAAGAGGATAGCGGGGAGTGTTGTGGGCCTCCGAGGACATCGCGAAGGGGCCCTTTGTCCCATTCTTACCGGATTAAGAAGAACAAAACGCGGTTAGAGAGCGCCTCATTTAGCTGCCTGATACTTTGGATTCATTTGGCTCGGTTTTTCG